TGATTCACTTATGGTTTTTCAGCCAGCACAAATGCCTTTGTCAACGAACTTCTGGCAAGTTTTCCCACTCTGAGGTCTAGGATAGGGTACTTAGAGCATTAGACAACGTTTCAGAGTCAAGACAAAGTCCAAATCCATGTGGATAGCTAGAGAATAATTAAGTATACATTTGAAGCTCCATGGCTTAGGAAGAGGGTTGAAGTTTACGTTGGTAAAACTAAGTTTTTATATTCTACTTTTCTCTCTTCCTTCTACCATTTGAGCATTTGGAGAAAAAGCCTTCTCACCATGCCAAAATTAAATCAGTAAATTTCCCTAGACTTATTATTTGGAACCATAAAAAGTACTTAGCTTTTAGAGTTATCTCAGTTCATCAAGGTAACTCACAAAGGTAAAATTTAGAGTCAGTAATAATAGACCAGCTGTTTCTTGCATCAGCAAGACTGAACTTCAGAGGCAGGACCATGTTCTTGATTTCCCCCGGGACTTTGCATGTTATAGATTTCTTTTTGTTGTTGTTGTTTGTTTGGTGAGACTGGGGTTTGAACTCAGGGCTTCATACTTGCAAAGCAAGTACTCTACTGCTTGAGCCACACTTCCAGTCCATTTTGCTCTGATTATTTTGGAGATGGGGGTCTCTTGAACTATTTTCCCTGACTGGCCTCAAACCTCAATCCTGGCGATCTCAACCTCCCACGTATCTAGGATTATAGGTGTGAACCACCAGTGCCTGACACGTTACAGAATTTTTTAAGTGCCCTGAAATTTCACGTTAACAGATTTTCTAAATGTATCTGCTCCAGCTTTTTATGAAAAACATACTTTAGCCAGACTTTAAAATTTTTAAATCATTCATTTATCAAATATTTATTGAGTGCCTACTAAGTACCAGGTACTTAGGAAGTCTTAAGGAGGGGAGAAACATAGAACTCTTAAGTTAGCTAAACAGTATCCATTTCTGCTCATGGTTACTCTTCCAAAATCCCAAGGCAGGGATGTATGATCACTCTACAGCCAGTTTTGGAAGGAGAGTGAGACACCAGAAGAAAGGATTGAGACAAAACTCTACCATTTCTTCATTGAAAAGTTTGCCTTTTAGTCACTGTGTTGTAAAGGACCCTCTATGTCTTTTCACCCATCCATTGCCTGGAACAAATTAGGGTTACTTTTGAAGACTTTGTTTTTAAAATCTTAAAAATGTAAATATGCATGTTATAGATTCTTAAAGTGCTCTGAAATTTTCCACATTGTTGGATTTTGTCACTGCATCTGCTTTGTCTTACATGAGAAACATCTGTCAGGCAGAGTTTTTGAATTTTAAGACATTCCCTTCTGCTGAAAGTAGAAAGATATTTTTAGTATCACAAAACCAGTATTCAGAGAAACAAAAACACTGGGCACACTTTTTAAAGCCCCCTACCTGGAGGAACAATTTGACTTCTCTTGGAAAAGTTTCTCCACACTGTAACCCCTCAGATAATATGAAGAAAGATGTCACAAACTCAACATAGCCACATGCCTTCGTGACAGGTCTTCCTTAAATAATCTTTGTAAACTGGAACACTTCCAGAGGAAAAAGGGAGATTACCACGTTTGGTGAGTAATTCATTTCTGTTAATTGTGTGTTAGACTTCATAGAAACGAGATATTTCATTGGGGTCAGAACATTGCATAACATTGGGCTCACATTAACGGAATTACTGTGCACAGTTCTATGTGCCTTAGCCTTAAGCTCACCATCACCATGGTCCTCATTGACTGCACACTTGCACCTGGCATTTTACCAGGATCCTCCTATTTTTTCCATGCTTCCCTATGAGAAGGAAAGGCTCAGAGAGGTGAAGTGAATTTGCCAAGCACATCTGTAACTTGAACCCAGATCTGTTTGAGAGCAAAGCTAAGCCACTTCCTACTTGAAAATCCAATAACAGTGTTGAAATCACCATAAGAAGGGAATTGGGGTAGGAGGGAGAATAATGAAGGAGATGAACCAATTCCAGGTATAATACATGTATATATGCAAATGTCACAAGGAAAGCCCCCATATAACTTTCATAAACTAACAAAAATGTTCTTCTTTAATGAACGAAGGACAGGAAGGTAGAACAGGTCCCGCCTGGGGTTGGTACCAGTGAGAGGGGCAGAGGAATTACCTAAGGGAAGGGTGAAATGCTACATTCTCGTGTATGAAAATCAAACGATGAAACCTGTTGAAATTGTTCTAAGGGAGGACGGAATAAATGAGAGAGAGACGTGAATGTAGCTCAGGTATGTTGCAAGTACTTATGTAAATGTCACAATGTACCCCTGTACAACTATAATATGCTAATAATTAAAAATGAAAAAAATAACAACCGTAGCAAGGAAAAGGTCAGGAAGGGGAAAAAATATTAGTCAACATTTAATTACCCAGAAAATATAATCCTGGGTAATTAAATCCTGACACATATAGAGGTATTTATTTATTTATTTATTGGGATTGTAGGAATGACAGTCATTGATTACAAACACATACTCACCTGGACCACTTTATTTATTTATTTATTTATTATCTAGCGATATGGTTAACAATCTCATATGTCTTGGACATTCCAGGGGCACGGGATATTTACTGGGTTCTTTTCAGGCATTTTCCAGACCATTGTATTAGTGAACCTACATAGCATAGCTATATATAGATGTATAAATAGTCTAGCAGTTTTTATTCAGAATTCTTATAATCTGACCTTTATTTAGTGACATAATTAGCTGCTCTTGGTACTGTCTACGCAAATAAATAAATAATTCCTGCACTAAAGTTCCACATATTAGGCTGGGTGTGGAGCTCATCTCTGTAATCACAGTTACTTGAGAGGCAGAGATGGGGAGGTGTGGTTCAAAGCTGCCCAGGCAAAAAGTTAGTGAGACCATAGGTCAACCTGTGACCCCAGCTACACAGGAGGCATAAAGAGGAGGATCCCGGCTGGGCGAGACAGAAGTGTAAGACCCGCTCCTGATAATAACTGAAGCAACACAGGGGCTGGAGCTCAAGTGGCAGAGCACCTGCCTAGCAAGTATAAGGCTCTGAGTTCAAACCCTACTACCATAAAAAAGAAAGAAAAGAAAAATCCAAATGATAAACCTTTCTAAAATTTAGACTATCTGAAGGGAATGGGAAAATGAAGTTGTATTTTATATTTAACATCAGTGATCTTGTAGAATTGTTTCATAAGAAGATTTAGCAAAATCAAAAGGTTTTACTACTAAAAAAAATTAAAACGTTCACTCCTTAATGAAGAGTGCTAAACATGAAACCTTATGAACATCATAAAATTTAACTTCACGTGGTGTGATATCTAAAACATGCTGAACTATTGAGTAGAAGGGAATGCTTTTATCTCTGCATTTTTAATCTTTGGGGATGAAATGACGGAGGGAGAAAGCAGATGACGCCTTCACTTCTAAGAAGGAAAACTGTAAAGGCTGTGTATTGTAAGCCATTATTGGGAAGTTTCCGGATTTTTATGTCCCTAATGCCATCTATGACGAAGCTAAACAGTAAGTTTTTAACATTATAATTTAAAAAATGACATACTTGTCATTTTCATATTGAAAATAGTACTCATCAAATAGTCCTTAAAAAAAAAAAAGAGCAAGATGATGGCCTCATTCTTTAGCAACAGAAATATGAACAAAGGCACTCTAGGATTCTTCCTACCTCAAGTCTGTGGCATCTTAGATATCCTTTATCAACTCCCCCCTTACTCTCTCTCTCCACAACCCTCCATCACGCACATACTAGCAAAAGTCCTCCTTTAAAAATCTCCAGGTATTACACCTCTAAAAGGAGCAGCAAGATATTTTTTTTAATTCCCCTTAAAATGATTGCAAACTATTAAAGTGCTTCTGACTAGAAAGTCTTAACTTGGATTGTTACAAGAAAACCTTGTAAATATTTGCTTTTTTACATATAATAGTTGTACAGGCGGATATATTGTGAGATTTACATATGCATTTACAAAATATCTTAGATTCACTCCCTCCATCATCCTCCCTCATCTCTCTCCCCTCCTTAGAACAATTTCAACAGGTTTCATAGTTCTGTTTTCGTACAGGAATACATTAAGGAGTGAAAAATATTGAAACATTCCATCCATATAGGAAGCTAAGATAACATAAGCCACTGTAAGCTGTTGAATATTAGGGGAGATTAAAGCAGGATATATACATGTCTGAAATGACAAGGTGAAACTCTTGAACTGTCAATATACACTTTTAAAAAATGAAGGACAGGCAGGTAAAACAGGAATCTTTATCAAGAGAGGACACTGAAGGAAAGAAAATCACTTCCTAATTCCAAGATTTTCCTTCTCTTCCAGCCCTTTCCTCCTCCCCTCATCAAAACTATTTGCGCAGTTGACATTGAGCCAGGAAGTCGGGGTTCTACACACAACGGAATGTCACTGGGAACTGCGTTTTTGTTTTTAAAGATGCACTTTGTCTGCTTTGCCGCCCTCCCGCAGACAACAAGAAAAACCCAACACTCTTGAATAAACTAGTGTGAGATGCAGACGCAAAAGCACCAGCTACATATGCAGAGCTTGGCCGTGTCCCTTCCTACCCGCACTGGTTGCTCTCATTGATTCCTTCTCAGAGTGGCTCTGTGTGCCTGCCACGCGCCGGGGCCCTGTTCAGGGCGTGGGGACACAGTGTTGGGTGAGGCATTTCTCACCCTTGGAGGCTCCCGGGTGTGCAGTGGGGGAAGTTGGAGCCCAAAGCAGAGAATGACAACAGTGTGTTGTAACTCACCAACAGTCAGATTTTGCAGAAAGCTAAAAGAAAGAGAGGTGCAGCTGACTCTGTTTGGAGGGGGTGAATTTTGGTCCTTTGAAATTCACTTCTTCCTTTCCACAGCTGTCCTTGTCACACAGCCCCCTCTATTATAGCTGACCCCATGGCATCCAACACGTAACCTAGTTCTGGCTCCTACTGTCCCCTCGGACTTGGACTCCTGCACTTACCTCGGGGAAACTTCCACACAACCCCAGTCCCGCACTTCCAGGCTCCGGGCGGGCAGAGCGCACGTCCCCAGCGCGCCAGCCCAGCGCTGACCAAGGACTCTGGAGACCTCAGGGACCCGCACGGGACAGGCGGCGTGTGGGCAACCTCTGGACTCCCGGTGTCCCGCGGGCAGGCGGGCGGGCGGCAGCTCCCACCCCTCTGCTCGATATATAAACCCTGATCTCCCCGCCCCGGGCCGACCCCTCTCCGCCCCGGCGGCCCCGGGCCCAGCGCACGTGGTCTCCCGAGAGAGGGGCGCAGCCTTGGGGAGGCGACGCAAGCGCGCGTGGAGGGGATCTTGGGCGCTGAAACTGCCCTGCAGGCTTTTCTCCTACGTGGAATTCTCACCCTCAATTGCCGACCCTGGAGGACATGGAGGGCGGGGAAATTGGAGCGATCTTGGTGCTCCCCTTCTTTGCGCCCCAGAGACAGGCGGGGTGCGCGGGCCAAGGCACACGGAAGGCGGCAGCTCTGCTCCTACTGTGGGAACTGCTGCTCCTTGGCGGCGGCTTTCCTTGTGTTGGTTTTTTGTTTTTTGTTTGTTTGTTTATTTGTTTCAGAAGTCAGGGTCTAGGCGAGGTGGCTTGAGGTTCTTTAGATGGAAGAGACTTCTTCCTTTTGCCTGGGAGGACAAGTGCCAGCGAGGGGCCCCTCCGCTCTTTCCAGAACATCCACTACTCTTTCTTCTACTCCATTCCTTTCTGTGTGCATTTATTCGTTTCACAAAATAGTTCAGCACCTGCTATGCACTGCTATTAGGTGCCCGGATACAAAACCTATAAAGTTGACATCTCAGCTCACAGTCTGGTTGGGGAGTCACACATGGGAAAAAGAGTGGTAAGTAGCACCAGGGGAACACAGAGGAGGGTGTCCTAACTTAAACTCACAAGGTCAAATGAAGCTTAACTTAAATGAAGATTAGCCAGGCATAAAAGCCAGGAAAAGAGGTCCCAAGCAAAGGGAGCACCAGTCCACTTCAGGGGAGCCAGAAGTTTGATTCTCAAAGCTTGCTATTTGGTGTCATTCCTAAGTGAAGAAAAAAATTAAACGGAGGTCAGCTTGTACATTGCACAACTGGACACAGAATGCAGACAGTCTCACTCTGGAACGTGCATTACCTGCTATTCTGTATAGAACACCAGGTGTCAACTTTAAACTTGCAGGTCACAAGTTCAAAATGAAAGCTGTGTGCCATGGAATGGCAATTGCTCTAAAATCTGAGGCATAACTTCAAAGCTGATCAAGACCACTCACCAGATGCATCCTAAACATGCATTCGTTTCTTAATGGAGTGTAGATAGTAATAACACTTTCCAGTGTCCATCCTTGAATGCTCTAGGTCATAGACTTGGCAGAGCAGCACCAGGGCAAATGGCTTCAAAATGATGAATCTTTGCTTTGCAAAGGATAGCTGGGGAAACATTGGAAAATCAACAAAACAAACATCCATGTCTCCAATTAGTATTGCTTTTACCTACAATTATTACAATCAAACATGTCAAATTTTTATATTTTCATAACACAAATATACTTTTCTGATTGCAGGGTTATTATCAAAAGAGACAGATGTGATTCCTGAGTGGCAGGGTTTCTAGCCAATTGCCAGCCCATCCAAAGCTACTTTGAAAGGTGTCTGACATATGCAGACAATAATCATTCTGTGATGGCCCCATAAGAAAGCCAGTCAGTTGGAAGAGCTCCTAGAAGTCGTGGGCCTGTGATCCATGGCCAAGTTAGTCTAATGGGAAGGCTTGGTGTCACTGCCTTAACAGCGGGCTGAGTCCTTTGCTATTGTTTAGAGATGTCTCCTGTTTGGAATGTTTCTCTATGTGGTGCCCAGTACCTTCGGATGTCCAAATCAGTTTTCACAACTGGATCAAACTTACACCAGCACCCAAAGAATTTGACTTCCTTTCCTCCAGCCTAGAGCAAAAAGACAGAAAGAAGAGAAGTTCTTGGGCTTTGTAAATGCGGGTGATTGCCTAAAGTGACCCCAGTTTTTCTCATTGTGCAACCCTTGATTTCTGGACCACAGAAACAATGGGCAAGTAACCAGTGTATGCTGTATTTCCCAGAGCCTCTTCAGTAGCATCTGTAACTTAAGAAGAAGTGTGGGCACCATATGTGTCTGGATGAATTTTAGAAGCATGACAACCTCATCAACTGGCATTAATACCATCACAACACAAACTGGTCTACCAGTGACACTATGGGATCATTCACAAGTCAAGCATTTGGAATAAAGTCAGCTACCATTAGCCCAGGAAGATCCGTGTTGACTTCTGAAATATCTCCAGAACCCAGCCCAGCTAGACTTTCACACTTGTGATGCTCAAGCTACTGAGATTGCCTTCCATTTGATCTTTCAAAGTCCCACCTTCCCCTTCACTCATCTCACACACCCCAATTTCTGCCAATTCATCCTTCATTCTTCTGACAGATCTTTAAACCCACACATCTGATTAATGACTCTGCTGGCTGGAGGGTGTGTAGGACACCCCCCCTCCTCCACCCACTGCCTGGAGAGCAGCAACTCAAGGTGCTCCCTCTCTCTGCATTTTTCCCTCTTGCCCATTTCCTGCTCTCCTGCCACACTCCACCCCAATCTGGATCTCCAGAGCTGGAGTAATGGCTCACGTCACTTGACCTCCTGCTGTTTCCATGTCCCCTTGCCATTGTCAAGTCTGTTTTCTCCGCATTCCTTCCTTCCTTCCTTCACTCGTTAGCAGGATATTTACAGGAGCGCCACCATTTACAATGGAGTTCTGTCCCAACAAACCCATCATACATGGGAAATGCTTTCAACACAACTATGTACCAGGTCATAGCTTAGAGCACGGTGCCCTGAAGAGGATTGGTAGTTACCCTGTGGTTGCATGGGTAACAGAGAGCTGTGGCTCACTGCCACAGCTTAGCATGGTAAGGGAGTATTGTGCCATATATCAATAGCCCAGGTGAAAATAAAATTCAAACGAATTATATTTTCTGCCAAATGTGTGTACCTTTTGCACTGTCATAAAAAAAAAAAGTGGAACCATCTAAAGTCAGGGACTATCTGTATATCAAATACTTACTCCAGGCCAGCCCTGTGAAGAGTGGAGTCATTTTTATAATTGTAATCTATCTATCTATCTATCTGTGTATTTAATTTTTAAATTTTATTTTATTTTTGTGGTCCTGAGGATTAACCCAGCACGTTCCTCATACTAGGCAAGAAATCTACCACTTGAGCCATACCACCAGTTCTTTTTTTGTTGTTTATTTTGTTTTGTGAGTCAGAGTCTTGCTATCTTTACCCAGGCTGCCCTTGAACTTGAGATGCTTCTGCCTCTGCCTCCCAAGTAGCTGGGATCACGGGTGTACACCATCATACTTGGCCCATTTTTACATTTTTTACAGCTTTACTGAGCAATAATTCATATGCCTATTGTTTTCCACACACATCATTTAACATTCTCACCAGGAATGTACAAGGGCTCCAAGTTCTTCACATCCTGTCTGCACTTGCTGTCTGACTTCATGACAGTCATCCTGATGGGTCTGAAGGGATAGCTCATGATGGTTTTGATTTGAATTTCTCTGATGTTGGTGAGTAATTTTTCATGTGGTTATTGTCCATTAGTGTATCTTCCCTAAGGAAATGTCTATTCATATCCTTTGTTCCCTTTTAATTGGGTTATTTATCTTTTTATTATTAGTTCTAAGAGTGCTTTATATAGTCAACACTCATATTAATGATATGCAAATACTCCCTCCCGTTCTGTGGGTTGTCTTTTTCACTTTTATAATGGTGTCCTTTGAAGCTCAAAAGTTTTAAATTTTGATGAGGTCCAATTTATTTCTTTTTTCTTTTTTTTAGTAGTACTGAGGTTTGAATTTAGGGTTTCACACTTGCCAGCCAAGCACTGTACCACTTGAGTCAAGCCAGAAGCCTCCCTTTTTTTTCTATTGTTGCTTATCCCTTTTGTGTCATAATAACAATCCTTTGCCAAATCTAATGTCATGAATACTTTATACATTTTAAAAATAAATTTAACTAATATACTCAGCACAGACATCTTGTTGGGTTATTTGGTTCTATTAGTTTATCAAACATGTATTAAACACCTACTGTATGGTGGATACCAGATACCTGGATTGCAATCACACATAGCCTCTGCCCTTAGGACCTCAGCACCTCAGCACCAGCACCCAGGACCCAGGACCTGGTAAAGGTCTATATGCACCAGGCACTGTGGGAGGACCCAGCCCTGGAAAGAGGTAGAGCTTAAGATAAACACTGGGCATGGGGTTGGATGAGAAAGGTTGAGAGGAGGAAGGAAAATAAGGTAGATATGAGAAAGTGTGGAATTCAGTGGTGGCCAAAGTCCAGGCAATGGGGGGGGGCATGGTATGAGGTTAGAGAAGGAGGTGGTGGCGGGTGGTGGCAGGTGATGGATCAAATGAGAGTTAGCAGGCAGGAGAAATCTAAGGTTTCCAGATTACGACTATGTGAGGGCAGCACCATTTGCTGAGATAGTGAACACGGAGGAGAAGGAGGCTTGGGGAGGAAGGTGGAAGAAAATAATCCTGTTTTGGATATTTCTAGTCTGAAATGCCTGGGAGTTGTTCAGGTAACAATGCCCAGTGATCAGACGGGCTTGTAGGTCTCAGGGTAGGGTGTGAGTCTTGAACTGGAGATGTAGATTTGAGTTCATCAAAAGAAATTGGTAGTTGGAGCCACAGACGTGGATGAGATGAATTCACTCATCCATCACTCACTGAGCACCCGCTTGTGGAAGGCAGTGTTCTGGATCCTGGGGAAACACATCGAGGATCCAGCAACCAAGATCACCGCTCTGTGCTGCTTGGGGAAGAGACTGGGAACTGTTTATTGAACGGTGGGGGAGATTACAGTGGTTTTGTCTTGTTTTGTTTTGTATTTTGCAGTGCTGGGCATTGAACCCAGCGAAGTTTATCATTATAATGCAATGAGAAGGTGACTTTGGGAAAAGTCTTGAACAAACAAGAAGTTTGATCAAGGCTGCACATCCTAAAAAATAAAATTCTTTTACAAATCAAAACAAAAGTAAGTCTGAATATTTGAGTAAAAAATGTTGCAGGCACGAAAACAGTCAATGAAAAGGTCGTAAGGCATGAGCACAGCTGGGCATTGAAGAGAAAAGAAGGGGTGAACATGGCTAAAGCAGGTGACTATGGAGAGGGGTGGGAGGACATGAAATCAGTCAGGTAGGGGAAGGGGGCAGGTTGCAAGGAGAAATGGAGGGTTTGGGTCAGAGGAGTGACATGGAATGACTTCTGTTTATGAAGGGTAGTAGACTGTTGTAGGAA